CCTGTAGAGCAGCTCCGCCTCCTGAGCCACAACAAAAACCAGTCCAGTCAAAGTACACTGGAACCCACCTGGACCAGGACACCTGAACCTGTAGGACACAGCCCAGTAAACCCCTGAGATGAAACTGTTCTCATCCCAAACCAGACTCCACTTCATGAGCCCTGAGAGACCAAAGGACGAGGGAGACGAACTGTAGGAAAACAGTGTCATGACCTGGCTCAAAGCCATGACAAAAACGAGGAGACGTACGGTTTCCAAAGCAAAAACGAAATGATTTTATTACAAGCAATATAAAATTAGGAAATTATCCACATAATCAAACACTAACTGAACTAACAAACAAACTAACTAAACCAAAACACAATGCGCCGAGGGATCGCGGGCGCAGTCGTGCAGCCGCGCCAGGTAGGTCCCATAGCAGAGCAGGGCAGAGACCGTGTGAGGAGTAGTGCCAGCTCTTATACACCTGTGGACTGGCCAGGTCCACCCAGGTGTGACAAGCCCCACCTACGACCTGCAAGGAAAAACAAGACAACCCAACACAAAAGAGGGAACATAGAACACAACAGCAGGCCACACCCCCCTCCATAAAGACCGGGTTCCTAGCCCGGAACCTCAAACAACTCAGCGCTAACTGAAATCTAATAAAAATATAATTTTTTTCAATTTAACCAAATCAAATCCTTTATCATTACATTAAACTATTTACAAACTTACCCCCCCAAAAAAATCACTTTACCCTTTTTACAATATGTACAAAAACCTACCCATGCTTATTATTAATACTCCTTCCTTCACCTGCCTCACCCCTTCCCACCTCAGCAACCTGGTACCTGGAAGCAATTTAAGAGGGGTAAGGGGAGAAAAACAAGTGGGACGAGGAAACAACAACATAGGAAAAACACTTGGCTATATTTACTCTACAGGCGCTCTGGACAATGCGTCTGCCACCACATTGTCAGACCCTTTTATGTGTCGAATATCAAGCCAGTGAGACTGAAGGAATAGTGACCATCTCACTAACCTTTGATTGGTACACTATAACGAGTTCAAGAAAACAAGAGGGTTATGATCAGTGAAGACCACTACAGGTACGACACCAGATCCAAGATACACATCAAAATGCTTCAGTGCCCACACTAATGCCAATGCTTCTTTTTCGATGGTAGAATAGTTGAGTTGGTATGAGTTAAACTTTTTAGAAAAGAAGCTCACTGGTTTTTCAATACCAAACTCATCACTCTGCAACAGTACCGCCCCCACCCCCACGTGACTGGCATCAACTTGGAGAGCAAAGGGACGATCGAACCTAGGAGCAGAGAGAACAGGTGCATTACACAACAAGGATTTAACTTTTTCAAATGCCTGCTGGCAAACAGGAGACCATACAAAAGTCGCGCTTGCCTTAAGCAAATCCGTTAGTGGTGTGACTACATCAGAAAAATTTCTGCAAAAGCTCCTGTAATAACCAACAAGACCTAAGAAACGCATATGCTCTCTTTTGGTTGTAGGAACAGGAAAACACGCAACTGCCTTAACTTTCTCCTCAACGGGACGGACAGTACCCTGCCCCACCACCCGACCGAGATACGTCACCGTTGCTCTGGCGAACTCACACTTTGCGAGGTTAACGTTCAGACACGCCTCAGCTAGACGGGCAAACAATGCACGCATGTGCTCATCATGAGAAACCCACGTGTCAGAAAAGACAACCACATCGTTAGATGCTGCAATGAAAGGCAGAGAAAAACCAGCATCAGGAGGACACCCAGGCTCTACGGCCCACACACCCATCTCAGTTAAATTAGCTGTCAAAACACTCTTTACAGTGTCCTTTAACCGCCTGTCCGAAATATCAATTTCAAAATGCTCTGCAACTTTTAACAACTGCTCCTTAGTGCATTTATTCAAAAAGTCCTCAGAGGGAACTTTAATGAAGTCGGAAATATCAGACATTTTTATTATTACAGCGGTTCAAATCAAAGATTAACAAATTTACCTACCATACAACCTCGCGCACAAAGTTGTATCAAACACCAAATACTTACCGAGCTGCTTTAATTCCCCCCAAACTTTAACACATGGGAAAAGTTTGAGACACCCCAAACCCTGACTGCCTACCCACAGATCTAACTTGAGCCTCAAATAGGCGTCTTCGATGGCCTTGCCGAGCTCGAAACGTCACCAGACCCGCAATACCACTCTCGACCATGGACACAACCGATCGTAATACCCCGAGCCTGGAGCGCTCCCTCCTCAGCATAGGCGGCGCCAGCATTTTCAGCGAGGCCCACCCATTCAAGCCAATCAGAAGAATATGTTTTGGGGATTAAAATGTTCATCCAATTGCCAGCTTTAGCTGAGCTCATGTGAAGCTAACTTCTCAGTCAATCAGCAGCTTTCTATCATACGTGAGTGCCCGCCCCCAGGCTGCGTCATCAGCATGTGACCCAATGAAATGAATGAGTTAGTTTGCGCGCAAACAGTCAGGAAGAAAGAAATGTGTAACGTTACAGGTAAAGAGAAAAAAGAGAGACGGAGTTTAAGATGGCGAAACAGAGCAGCTTACTTGGTTTTTTTTAACAAAAGACACCGTGTTGAGCAGGAGGAAACTCCACTTGATTTAAATGCGAGTGCTAGTTTAAAGGCCAGCTCAGCCGTCCGGCCCCGCTCCCAAAGCAACGCTAATCCTCCTCCTCCTCCCCCTCCTCCTCCTTCATCCATCCCCTCACAGTCATGTCAGCAAGGGAAAGAGAAAGGCAAGTAATGTTAACGGCAGTGTCTCTGTCTGTTTGTCTGTCTGCACGTTTTCTGGGGGAACACTGTTGGCAGCAGCAGACAAAGGTAACATATGATGGCGTTATGTGTTATAGGAGGCAGGGTTCAGCAGCAGCCTAGCACGTCGCAAGTTCCCCGACCCAGAGACATGTCACAAGCGCCCCAAGACCTGTCAAGCATAGATGAGCCGGCAACCCAGCCCAACCTCAGCTCATTCCCATCCACAGACATATTGGGGAAAGCTAGAAGTTTTTCTGCCAAGTGGTATTCAAAATTCCCATGGCTAGAATGTGTTTTGCAAGCCCTGTCGACATTTCCCTGAAGCAGCACATGAGCGATCTATTAATGGTTTCAAAGACTGGAAACATTTTTCGGAGTTTTGTGCCAAACATAAAGCCAGCAGGGCACATGCTGCAGCGCTGGGTAAAATGGATGGATATAAACAAAGTCATCAGCCATGACGGGGAAATGTTATTAACCAACTGAACAATGATGCCAGCCAGTCCTTCATTGAGAGAAATAGACAGCATCTTATGGTGGTAATAGATCTCGTCCTGTTCTGTGCCAAACAAGAAATCCCATTGCGTGGGCATCGGGAAAACCCAAATACTTTAAACAAGGGTAACTTCCTAGAACTACTTAATCTAGTTTCTAAATATGACCCAGAAATCAAAAGGCGCCTGGATGAATTACCTAACAATGGGAAACTCCTGCACCACGATATACAAAATGAGATTTTGGAAATCGCTGCATCACTACTTATCAAAAAAAAATAAAATCAGATTTGCATGATGAGCCCGACACATATTATGCGATTTTAGCAGATGAGTGCAAAGACTTGTCAAAAAGAGAGCTAGTAGCATCGGATTTGGGTTCGATGGCGCATCTGTCATGTCAGGGAACAGAGGAGGGGTACACGTGATTTTGAAGAAGACGTTTCCTCACGCTGTATACTGAGCTGAGGACAGCGACACAGGAGCCACTCAGGTGCAGTCACGGATGCTGTTGCAGGTTGCAGCGCGGTGCTGTGTTTTTCCTTTTTTTATTGGCCCATCCATTTTTCTGTAGGCCCACCCATTCACAAAATCCTGGCGCCGCTAGTGGTCCAAACTGTAGTTATATCAGCATGAAATCACCAATTCTCAGTCAGCACACTGCCTCTGTTATAAAGGTCGTCTCTGCTCGCAGTATATTTTACTTTCTTTTCTGAATCCAGTAATAATGAGACTCAGAGACAGGAAGAAGAACCAGAGTCAACATGTAGAATCAGTCCTGATCAAATCTCACTGACTTGACTGACTTGACTGACTGACTGACTGACTGACTGACTGACGTGGAGCTGCTTCTGTGAAATAGACAGAGGTGGAGGAAGTATTCACATCGTTTAAATACAGTGTCCTGCCTTCAAAAGGCTACTTCAGGTAGTCCAGTACCTATACCCCGTCAGTATCGGATCTTATTATTAATGTATCAGGCCTGCACTGTAGGAGGGGTCGAGGGGGGCAATTTTTTTTACTGCTTCTTTATAATATTGGGCAAAATACAACAAATCTATTGGAGTACACAGTAGTGTAAAGTACAATAAATGGAGGTACTCAGGTAAAGTACTTGAGTAAACTAAGTGCTTAGTGAAATTAAAGAAAACAAAGATAGTGGTTTGGTGTTTTATTTCAACAGTTTCTAACCTTAAAGCTGCTGAAGGGGGGACTTCTAGAAGAGTCAATAAAAGGTCAAAGCTTCCTGTTCTGATCAGCTGACCCTGATGTCTGCTGTGTTTCAGTTGTGTTCATGTCACAGGTTTGATCCCAGCTCGCCTGTCTGTCTGAGTGCAGATGAAAACCAACAAATACCAGCTGAAGGCAGACATCTGTTCATGTTCACGCTGTGTGGGGAGTTTTAAAGTCCTACATGCCCTGCACCAGACCAAGGCTGGAACTCAAGGGGCCTCAACTCTCTAGTTTTATTATGTGTAGCCCACATAATAAAAAAAAGAAGAAAAGAAAAAAAGTGTGTGTGTGTGTGTGTGTGTGTGTGTGTGTGTGTGTGTGTGTGTGTGTGTGTGTGTGTAAGTAGTGCTGTGTGGTTGGGGTGGAGAGGTGGGGGGGGGGTGGTGCTTAGGCTAAGCGTCAATCTGTATGTTATTTTGAAATCTCTGGCCTGAACAGCCTTCTTTTTAACAGGTGTCTGGTCTTATTGTGGAAGTGTTGACCGGAAGTCACGTGGTGCGTGTTGCCAGACTTGGTGCTGTGTGTGAGGAAACTTGTGTGTGTATACTGCGGACGCACGGACGGTGTCTGATGGCAATGCGGAGGTAAACAGTTCATCTGCCGCCGAGAAGCTTCCGGCAGAACTCCATAAGAAATTCTGATGATTTTAACCGCTGCTGCTAACAGACGTGTTCACTCGGCTGGCCGGAGTGCCGCTGAGCAAACTGCTCCGAGCCAATGAACCGTGAGTAGACGGAACCGTAGAGTAGTAGTAGATCCTGAGACTAAAGTGTCGGACATGATATAACATGACTGTGTTTTGGGGTGAAATTAAGACGTTTTAACGACCTCGTAGTAACATATTCCACCTCCGAGTTTAGCTAACGCTCGCTACGCTAGCGAGTTCAATTATCGGACACGGTTCTTGCACATCTGAGGTTTGAGCTTTTCCCTTCAAACCGTTAATTTATTCAAACACCTTCAGTTAAAACAGTTCACACATGAACCAGTGCTTAGTTCACATTATCTTAGCTTCACTGACGTCTTGGTTTTATGTAAAAGTAGCTTTTACTCGGTCCATTATTCTCTCCTATTTGTATTTGTTGGATATTTTAATATCCAATGTAACTGATTTCCTGCTCTGCTGTAAAGAAAAGGCCTAAAGATTTAAAGTGTTACAGATAAGCAGCTTTACAAACCGTGTGTCTGCCTTTAATCCTTTAGTCTTCATGTAAAAAACGCAACCCGAATCTCCGTATAAAGAACTGTAAATTAAAGGATAAACTGTCAATTTTCAGCGGTTCTTGAGTCATGAAGAGTAAACTGTGACTTTTCTGGATCAGCAAGATCCGCTCTTTAATTCCGTACACACCAGATTAATGTAAATCCATTGAAATGTAAAACTATGTCACTCTTGATCACTGTGGTTCATACTGCTGGTGCAGATATTCATTGTATTTGTATTGTGGTAACAGGTGACTTCGGTGTAAAAGATAGTTGAATAGACAGAGAATGATCTGCTCTGTGTGGTGGATGTATGCAGAACTGAAGAGGAGAACCTGCTGAATCAGATTCTTCTTTTTACTCTCATGGCATCAAGTGTGGAACTGCTTGTATTTGAAGGCAACCTTAAAATGGCAGGTTTTTATATGGAATTTTGTGTGTAATGCACAGAAACGCAGCTTTGTTTGAAGTTCTTCAGAATCCTGAACTCTTCTTCTTTTCTTCTAAAATGTTCTATCATTTTATATTGTATTATACTTTATCATGAATCACACCTTTACCTGTGACAGTGACACCTTTATAAAGGAGTCTGGTCCTGTGTGTTTACATTTTGTGTGACTAGATGTTGCAGTCAGAGTTTGGTTTCAGGTAGAGGATGGGGGGTAGGGGGGGTGTCAGCAGGTAATCTCATCCAGAACACTCTTTAAAAAAAAAAAAAAAAAAAAAAAAAAAAAAAAAAAGTAAATGAGTGACATGTTTCTGTGCTGTTGTAGTTCACGAGTGTAGGATAATTAACCACTTTACGAGAGGACAGCTGACACCTCAGGTTCTCTCACAGCTGACTGCTTACATTTCTACAATTAGAATAAAGTATAGATATGAATCTAAATCCTCAGTACATCACACTCCCTCCTTAAACAGATCATAATCAGAGTTAATTCAAGAGATCAGATCTACAACTTCACACTGACAAATCAAATCAAATGAACTACTCACTCAGGGACGGAGGGAAGCAGCTGTCCCACACTGCACACAGTGAAAAAGCTCAGGACACTCAGTGCACCTGTGTCAGCTGCCTAACGAGCACACCTGTGCCTGCTTCCAGGGAGCAGCAGTCATGTGACCCCCCCACGCCTAACACCTTGTGTTGAACTCTGGGCTGAGGTGGAAAAGTGAAAGTAATCTCCTCTCTGACCTCCTCGACCTCGATGGAAGACGTCCTGAGGTCAAAGAAGTGAAGGAGAATTCATAAAGAATCTGACTGAACTCACACGAAGATTTTTTAACTAACTTTATTTCTAACACCTGGAGGATCAATCCTCCTTTAACCACAGAAAAACAAACAGGACCGACATGTTGAAATAAGAAAACATAAACGAAAAAGACAAACAGAGAAAGTTGAGCCATTAAAATAATAATTAAATAGTAATAGACAACTGAGCATAGATCAATTAAATTATATTCACACATCAGTTTATACATTTGTTAAATAGAGAAAATTCCTTTTTAATGCTGTCAGTTGTCGGTCAGTCGGTCGGTCAGTCAGTCGGTCACTTTTGATTCTTCGATATTTTAACTCCTGATCACAGAGTGAAGAAACAAACACCCCCCCCTCTCTCAGCAGCGTAATGTAAGGCGATGCTCACTTGGCCAACATGGCCAGTGTCACGCTGCGGTACTTCTGTTATGGCTGCCTCGTCACCTCGGCGACCTGGTCCGTCCTCCTCTTCCTCTACTTCTCTCTGGGGGCGGAGCCTGGACACGGCAGGACCCCCCTACAGCACCGCAGCCAGCCAATCACCAGGGGCCTGGCTGACCAGCGGGCAGGGCGTCGGCCTCTACCGGCCAGTAAGGGAGTAGAGCTGTCACCAGAGATGGGTGAGAGACTGTGGTGTGTTCAGGTGTTGCTGGGAATAGGGAGCTGCAACGGTTATTGATTTTAGTAATTCATGAAGCGAAACTATTTTGATCTTAAGAATTAAATGACACATAGCCTCTTAAATTTCAAGTTTGCAAAATAAAACACAACCCGAGTTTTCAAAATAAAGCAGGTTCAGTTTCCAAAAGATGAAACCTGCTGATTGTCTCTGACGGCATGTCTGTCTGCAGGGATGATATTTAACGAAGCAGATCAGGTGGTCAGGGACACCGGGTACCATCGCCATGCCTTCAACGTCCTCATCTCCACCAGACTGGGCTACCACAGAGAGCTGCCTGACACCAGAGACTCCCAGTAAGAACCAATGGGGCTGCTGAGACCAGCACACGATCACATGACCTCCAGACCCCAAACCAGGACTGTGCAGTCCCAGTCTGACAGCTGCCATAAGGATTAGAGATGTGTGTGTGTGTGGGTGTGGGTGTGGGTGTGGGTGTGTGGGTGTGTGTTACAGCATTAAAGAGCAACAGCTGCTCACTGCCAGCTGTTCTTGTTTAGTTCACTCGAGCTCCGTTGGTATTTTCACATCTAAAAATCAATAAATTATAATGATAAACCTCTCTGTAGGTGTCGGGACAAGGTGTATCCTCTGGTTCTACCTTCTGCCAGCGTAGTGATCTGTTTCTTCAACGAGGCGTTCTCCGCCCTGCTGAGGACCGTCCACAGCGTGTTGGACCGGACGCCGGCCTACCTGCTGCACGAGATCATCCTGGTGGACGACCACAGCGAGCTTGGTAACGCCCACCTGTGATGACACCTGCAGAGAGGGCCTGTGTGTTTGTGTGTGTGTTTTTACAGATGTGTGTGTGTGTGTGTGTTGGTTCAGAGGAGCTAAAGGACGACCTGGACCGGTACGTCAGGGAGGAGCTGCAGGGTAAAGTCAAACTGGTGAGGAACCAGAGGAGGGAAGGACTCATCAGAGGACGCATGATAGGAGCCTCGCATGCTACTGGTACATCCTACACCCTAAACCCTACACCCTTATATCCTACACCCTAAACCCTACACCCTAAACTCTACACTCTTATGTCCTACACCCTTATATTCTACACCCTTATATCCTACACCCTAAATCCTACAACCTTATATCCTACACCCTTATATCCTACACCCTTATATTCTACATCCTTATATCCTACACCCTAAATCCTACAACCTTATATCCTACACCCTAAATGCTACACCCTTATATCCTACACCCTTATATCCTACACCCTAAACCCTACAACCTAATATCCTACACCCTTATATCTTACACCCTTATATCCTACACCCTAAATCCTACAACCTTATATCCTACACCCTAAACCCTACACCCTTATATCCTACACCCTAAACCCTACAACCTAATATCCTACACCCTTATATTCTACACCCTAAATCCTACATCCTTATATCCTACAACCTTATACCCTACACCCTAAACCCTACAGCCTTATATCCTACACCCTAAACCCTACACCCTAAACTCTACCCCCTTATATCCTACACCCGAAATCCTACATCCTTATATCCTACTCCCTTATATCCTACACCCGAAATCCTACATCCTTATATCCTACTCCCTTATATCCTACACCCGAAATCCTACATCCTTATATCCTACTCCCTTATATCCTACACCCGAAATCCTACATCCTTATATCCTACTCCCTTATATCCTACACCCGAAATCCTACATCCTTATATCCTACTCCCTTATATCCTACACCCGAAATCCTACATCCTTATATCCTACTCCCTTATATCCTACACCCTAAATCCTACACCCTTATATTCTACATCCTTATATCCTACACCCTTATATCCTACAACCCAATATCCTACACCCTTATATCTTACACCCTTATATTCTACACCCTAAACCCTACACCCTAAACTCTACACCCTTATATCCTACACCCCTATATTCTACATCCTTAGATCCTACACCCTAAACCCAACAGCCTTATATCCTACACCCTAAATCCTACAACCTTATATCCTACACCCTTATATCCTACACCCTTATATTCTACATCCTTATAGCCTACACCCTTATATCCTACACCTTAAACCCTACACCCTAATATCCTACACCCTTATATCTTACACCCTTATATCCTACACCCTAAATCCTACAACCTTATATCCTACACCCTAAACTTTAGGGTGTAGGATATAAGGTTGTAGGATATAAGGATGTAGGATTTAGGGTGTAGAATATAAGGGTGTAGGGTTTAGGGTGTAGGATATAAGGGTGTAGGATATAAGGATGTAGAATATAAGGGTGTAGGATATAAGGGTGTAGGGTTAACCTACAGCCTTATATCCTACACCCTAAACCCTACACCCTTATATCCTACACCCTAAACCCTACACCCTAAACTCTACACCCTTATATCCTACACCCCTATATTCTACATCCTTATATCCTACACCCTAAACCCTACAGGCTCATATCCTAAACCCTACACCCTAAACTCTACACCCTTATATCCTACACCCTTATATTCTACATCCTTATATCCTACACCCTAAATCCTACATCCTTATATCCTACAGCATAAATACTAAATCCTTATATCCTACACTCTTATATCCTACAGCATAAATCCTACATCCTTATATCCTATATCCTAAACCCCTAGAGCCTTATATCCTACATCCTTATATCCTACACCAGACCTGGGCAAATTACGGCCCGCGGGGCACATCCGGCCCTTTATACGCCCCTGTCCGGCCCGCGAGGCCAATTATGAAGAACATAAATAAGATAAACGTGTCTTTTTTACTTTTATTTAAAAATGTTAATTTTATTTTGAAAAGCGTTACTTTACTTTTGTAAGAACATATGCGCGTGCGCGGGTGAAGGTTAACGGTCACAAGTGATGCTCGCTCGGTCACCCTCAAGATGTCAGCTCACGCTAAGAAAAGAAAAGTTGATAACGAATGCCGTGTTTTCAACAAGAAATGGACTGCAAATTACTTCTTTACAGAAGTTAAAGGTAAAGCAGTATGCTTAATCTGTGGTACACAGGTCGCTGTGTTTAAAGATTACAATTTGTTTATTGTTTTTCATTGTTTCTGGAGATTAATAAGTTAAACATGAATTGCACTGATTCAGTAATTTTGTTTTGTTATTTGACCTACATCACAATTTCACATAACCTAATATAAATATTTACAGAGATTTACAGATAATTCTTATTATCATCAGCACCAGCTATTCAAAATATTTCATTTAGAGCATTTTAAAATGTAAGAAAGTTAGCGGCCCTCTGACACAATTCAGGTTTCTCATGTGGCCCCTGGTAAAAATCAATTGCCCACCCCTGTCCTACACCCTAAACCCTTATATCCTACATCCTAAACCCTACAGTCTTATATCCAACACCCTAAACCCGTATATCCTACACCTTAAACCCTACAACCTTATATCCTACACCAGGGGCTAGCGAGCTACCAGTAGCTCACCCTGCGTTTAAAAGTGGCTCACCTAAGGGGTTCAGAGAATATAGTTTATACAAACTTGGATGCATAGTTCAAACTTTAAGCAACACAACCTCACTCAGTAAATCTGCTCCCAATGCAACTAAATGAAATGCACTGAGCACTGACTGAGGAGCTTCTTTTTCAGTTTCTAATCAGAGTCATGGAGGTTTATTCACAGTGATGTTTTCATGTCTCTGTGTTCAGGTCTGACTGAATCATAACTCAAATTTTTGTCTGATGTGAGTTTCAGATGTTTTTGGATGTTGGTGTTTGATGACTTGTTAAATGATTTGGTTTGGAGTGTTTTGATACGATGTGTGAGTAAATGTAACCAGTGATATACGACATGAGGAGCTCTCAGCCCCTTTTGTTTGGTCAAAGTAGCTCTCGGAGTAAGAAAAGTTGGAGACCCCTGTCCTACATCCTTATATCCTACACCCTAAACCAGGCATCACCAAATGGCGGACCGCAGTCCGGGCGCGGACCCAGTGACGGTTCTGCCCGGACCCGTGAAAATTATATTATAATTATAATATTAGGCCTAATAAAAAGATCAATCATTCGTGCATGCGCAGCTAATTTAGTTTATACGACAGAAACGTCATCAATAGCCAAGCCAATCAAATCGATTGTTTACCTTTCAGCACCAGAGAATGGGGGGGGGGGTGAAAATGGCTTGAGAAAAGTAGACAGTGAAAACCGAACTTTTAAAGATGAATGGACGCACCAATACATGTTCGTTCTGCCTGCAGCCAGTTCTAAACCTGTGTGTGTGTCTCATATGCTGTGAAACTGTGGCGTTAATAAAAAGTACCAACGTTAAGCGTCACTATGAGACCAAACACGGATCGTTTGATGAAACATACCCGCAGAAGTCCGCAGTGAGGGCAAGTAAGATTATCAAACTGAAAGCACAGTATGACCGGTCTACCCGTGTCCTCACACATACATTTACAGGCCAGCAACGTGCAGATGAGTGTTCACTTAAGATTGCGTGGATTTTGGCGCAACACAAGAAACATCCAGCGATGGGACAGTGGTGAAGGAGTGCTTAAATGCGGCTACAGAGACTTTACTTGACAGTAAACAAAAAAACGACGTGTGAAAAAATCAAGCAAATCCCATTGTCAGCTTCAACGACAACCAGAAAATCCGAACTATTAGCAGAGGATGTACTGGCACAGCCTGATGCAGCTGTTCAAAACGCAGTATGTGTATCCTTAGCCATTGATGAGTCCACAGATGTAACAGATAATGCCCAGCTTTTGGTGAATGTGAGATTTCTTCACAAAGAGATGTGTGAGGACCTGCTGGGTTTAATGCCACTAGTTAATTACATGGTTAAAATAGGGGGTGGGCAGCTCAAAGGTCTTTTGTTTAGAAGAAGAAGAAGAAATTCAGTTACTTGAAATGTAGTAAAGACAACTACAGTAATGTTTTCCATTCAAGTGCCATACAAGTTCAGACTTATCAGTATGTTTAAAGTATATAACACTTGAAATTTGACAATAAATGACATAGAAAAGTACATATGTTGTTTTTTATTTACATCAGGGTACACTATTTCGAGTGACAATATAAGATTCGGACCTTTGCTGGGAGGACATTTTTGTAACTGGACCTCTTTGAATTTTAATTGAATACCCCTGCCCTAAACCCTACAGCCTTATATCCAACACCCTTATATCCTTTACCCCAAACCCTATAGCCTTATATCCTACATCCTCACTGCTTATATTTTACCTCCTTGTTCCCTGCTCCCTATGTCTGTGTTCACTTCCTGTCTGTGAGGAGATTCAATCACATGACCAGATGTAGTTTACTACTGATAGCTGTAGTATGCTATCCAGTGTTTTAGCTCCTGACAGGACAGAGACAAAGTGGACTCACCTGTGTTGTATGTCCAGGTGAGGTGCTGGTCTTCCTGGACAGTCACTGTGAGGTGAACCAGGCGTGGCTGCAGCCTCTGCTGGCACCGATCCAGGAGGAGCGCCGCACCGTTGTCTGCCCGGTCATCGACATCATCTCAGCTGACACGCTCGCCTACTCGCCCTCTCCCATCGTCAGGGGCGGCTTCAACTGGGGGCTGCACTTCAAGTGGGACCCTGTCCCCCCCGCTGAGCTCAACGGGCCTGAGGGAAGCATTGGACCAATCAGGTAACCAGCTGGCCGATCAGATGACCAGTTGAGCAAATGTGACCCAGCAGAAACCTTACCTCTAATGCCACCCCCTCCCCTCCTCTCCTCTCAGGTCTCCCACCATGGCCGGTGGTCTCTTTGCCATGAACAGGAAGTACTTCAATGAGCTCGGCCAATATGACGCCGGCATGGACATCTGGGGCGGGGAAAACCTGGAAATCTCCTTCAGGGTGAGAACGCTGTTTTACAGACTGTCAGTGAAGGTGTCATTTGTGCTGTTCTTCTCCTCATAGTGCGATGTTAGCCTAGCTTAGCATAAAGACTGGGGGCACTGGTAAGGAGCCCACTACAAACAGACTGTTGTCCGACAGGAAGTAGTTCCAGCTGTGTTATGTATGTGTGTGTGTCAGATCTGGATGTGTGGCGGACAGCTGCTCATCATCCCCTGCTCCAGAGTTGGCCATATCTTCAGGAAGAGGCGGCCCTACGGCTCTCCTGGGGGGCAGGACACCATGGCGCACAATTCCCTGCGGTTAGCGCATGTGTGGATGGACGAGTACAAGGTAAACACACCCACAGCTGTGATCACAGCATGCTGCAGCATCCTCTGACCTCACTTCCTGTGTCTGTGTGGTTCAATCAGGAGCAGTATCTGTCTCTGCGTCCAGAGCTGCGTGAACGCAGTTACGGCGACATCAGTGAGCGAGTGGCATTGAGGAAACGGCTGCAGTGTCGCTCCTTTCGTTGGTACCTGGACACAGTCTACCCTGAGATGCAGACTGTTGCCAATGGCAACAAGCAGCAGCCGCCACTGTTCATCAACAAGGGTCTGAGACGCCCCAAAGTCCTGCAGAGAGGACGGGTACCTGACCCCCATCCATCATCCATCCATTCATCAATCATCCATCCATCTATCCATCATTCATTCATCCATCCATCCATCATCCATCCATTCATCAATCATCTATCCATCCATCCATCATCCATCCATTCATCAATCATCCATCATCCATCCATCCATCCATCTATCTATCCATCCATCCATTTATCCATCCATCCATCCATCCATCCATCTATCATCCATCCACCTATCCATCATTCATCCATCCATCCATCCATCTATCATCCATCCATTCATCAATCATCCATCCATCCATTCATCAATCATCCATCCATCCATCCATCAATCATCCATCCATCTATCCATCATTCATTCATCCATCCATCCATCATCCATCCATTCATCAATCATCCATCCATCCATCCATCCATCCATCATCCATCCATCCATCCATCATCCATCCATTCATCAATCATCCATTCATCAATCATCCATCCATCATCCATCCATCCGTGGACATTAAATGTTTGTTTATTGTATGAACTGTAAACAAAATAAACTGACTCGTTCTTTGTGTCGGCCATCTTTCAGCTCCGTAACCTAGCGACCAGGCGTTGTCTCGTGGCTCAGGGCCGAGCCAGTCAGAAGGGTGGAGCTGTCGTCCTACGACCATGTGACCCCCGTGACCCCGAACAGGTGATGTGATCACGATTGGTCCATTATAACCCCAAACACAAACCAACCAACCACTATGACATCTGACCTTTAACCCTGACTTCACGCGTCATGTGACCTGTGTGTAGGACTGGGCCTATGATGAGGAGGGTCAACTGGTGCTTGCAGGTCTGCTGTGTCTGGACGTGTCAGAGGTCAGGACCTTTGATCCCCCCAGACTTATGAAATGTCACGGGTCAGGGGGGTCTCAGCAGTGGAGCCTGGGGGTGAGACACACACACACACACACACACACACACACTCTCCTAGACATTAATATGTATGATTATAATATAAATCAGTGTGTGATAAAGTTTCTGTCTCTCTCTCTCTCTCTCCCTCTCCCCCTCTGTCTCTCTCTCTCCCTCTCTCTGTGTCTCTCTGTGACTCTCTCTCTGTCTGTCTCCCTCCCCCTCTCTGTCTCTATCTGTCTCTGCCCCCCCGTCTCTGTGTCTCCCTCTCTCTGTGTCTCTCTGTCTGTCTCCCTCCCCCTGTGTCTGTGTCTCCCTCTCTCTCTGTCTCTCTCTCTGTCTGTCTCCCTCTATCTCTCTGTCTGTCTCCCTCCCCCCTCTGTCTCTCTATCTGTCCCCCCGTCTCTGTGTCTCCCTCTCTCTGTGTCTCTCTGTCTGTCTCCCTCCCCCTGTGTCTGTGTCTCCCTCTCTCTCTGTCTCTCTCTCTGTCCGTCTCCCTCCCCCTCTCTGTCTCTCTATCTGTCTCTGTCTCCCCCCATCTCTGTGTCTCTGTGTCTCCCTCTCTCTCTCTCTGTCTCTCTCTCTGTCTGTCTCCCTCTCTCTCTGTCTGTCTCCCTGAGTCCTGAAGCAGGTTCTTCTGTCCCCCCTGTCTCTGTGTCTCCCTCTCTCTGTCTGTCTCCCTCCCCGTCTCTGTGTCTCCCTCTCTCTCTCTGTCTCTCTCTCTGTCCATCTCCCTCCCCCTCTCTATCTCTCTATCTGTCTCTGTCTCCCCCCCTGTCTCTGTGTCTCTCTGTGTCTCCCTCTCGCTCTCTCTGTGTCTCTCTCTCTCTGTCTGTCTCCCTCCCCCTCTCTGTCTCTCTCTCCCTTCCCCCCTCTCTCTGTCTCTGTGTCTCTCTGTGTCTCCCTCTCTCTCTCCTGTAGAAATCTAACCGGCTCTACCAGGTCTCGGTTGGTCAGTGTCTCTCGGTCGCCCAGCCGATTGGGCCTAAGGGTTACGTTTCCATGGTGATCTGTGATGCGTCTCAGGCGCAGCAGTGGCAGCTGGAGGACTGAATATCCTGGAATATCCCGGACGTCTGCATCAATTTATTTTTCTTTCAGTCCTTGAAAGTCCTGGAGTTAACACTATGAACTGTGAGGTGTTTCCACGGAGATACCAGGAGGTCCTGGAGGACAGGAGGAGTCTGAAGTCAGACCATATCATGATCGTTTAAGGACTGACATGGATCCATGTGGTCTGGACTCTGGTCTCTGGACCTCAGTGACAGGATCACAGTTTTTAAACTTTGTCTTTGTGTCATTTCACCAATAAATTCACAGTGAACTTTAAAGACTGAAGGACTCTTAACAATGTGATGTTGCCAGGGGCGGGGCCATGGGGGCGGAGTGATGGGGGTGGGACCCAGACTGAACAGAGAGTTGTGCGTCCAGGACAGACAGGTTCTTTACTGACACCTGATGTCATAGTGTGGTTCTACCTGATGACCATCAAGTGTCAGGTGTCTCCTGCTCTAAAAGTTCCAGGAGTCCTGAAGCAGGTTCTAGTGGTTCTTGAGTGCGTTCCAGGGGCCTTGAAGGATGTAGTTACTTCTGAGTCTATATAAAGGGTCCAGTTGTCCATGACAGGTTTTACTGTCCTGATTCCAGGAGTGTGAAACTGGTTCCTGTGGTCTCTGAGCAGGTCCCAGGAGTCCTTGACAAAGTGTAAATGTCCTTGGGGAGATTCCAGAGGTCTTAGTTTGCTTTCTTTAAGGGGCTGTGTGTGTGTGTGTGTGTGTGTGTGTGTGTGTGTGTGTGTGTGTGTGTGTGTGTGTGTGTGAGAGAGTGTGTGAGTGTGTGTGTGTGTGTGTGAGTGATGGCCTGCAGAGTATTGACGAGAACAGAAAGCTAATTATTTCAGGGCTGAATCACTGGAAGCCATCAATTACACTTATATTACACACACACACACACACACACACACACACACACACACACACACACTAAATAACCTCACTGATATCACTGTTGGAGTTTAGGGACCAGTTCAGTTTATTGAACACACACGCTTCCACCACAGAGAGCTATATATATATATATATATACGTATATACACAATATATACATATATGTATACAATATATACATACATATATACATATATACATGTTTAGAATCAGCTACTTAAGCTACTTATCACAGGTAACCGACACGACTTCCTTCTCATTCATCCCCGCAGCGCCACAGCGCTTTACACAGTGTAGACGCCGAGCGTCTACTGACTTCAATGGGGAAAGCACAGAGTGGGTTGTTCCACTGCAGCGAAACTAGACGGTCATTGGATAAATGCTGGGCTTTGTCCGCCCATGGGACGCTCAGCGTCTCTGGGGGTCTATGGGGCAGTGGGCTGGCCCGGAGCTTGGCTTCTGCATGATGATTGGATGATCCGTCTAAGGCTGAGTCCCTTTTTGATTGACAGCAAAATGAGCGAATCAGCGATCTTGAAGTATAAAGCATCCACTGGAGCATTTTTCATTCCGTTGTTCGGAGTTGATCTGGAGACGTTATTGATCTCAGCAACTTTGTCTTTGTTAAAAATGACTAGCGTTGTGTTTGGCGACTCTTCTCTGTCACTCTGCGAATTTACATATAAATAAACAGACACATTTTATGGCCGAAAATGAGCTTCCCCTCCTTATAAACCAGCAGCCGCCACTGATTGTGTGTGTGTGTATATATATATATATATATGTATATTTTGTGTATATATATATATACATATAGTTGATATATGATAAAGAAAATAAAACATTTAAACATGAAAACAATGAAATACATTTGAGGAGTGTGTGTGCGTGTGTGTGTTAAAGCAGATTGATTTTCACAGCAGGTCAAATTGCATAGCTTCACACACACACACACACACACACACACACAGAGGACAGGTTAATGTGTCATCATGCAGCCTGAGCAGCTGTCAGCTGATTGGTCGGTTCAACTGAATCTGCCTCATAAATCCACATTTAGAAATTAGAGAAACTTTGTTGATCTGCAGCTTTTTGACAGAACGTGTGTGTGTGTGTGTGTGTGTTGTTTACGTCTCTGAATGACTATTGTTTTCAGTGTTCTGGAAGACATTCAGGTGGTGTTTAAAAATTTCCAGCCAGGACTTCCAGGTTCCCATGAAGGATCTCAGGAGTCCTTGAAGAGGATCTGTTAGAGGAGCGGTCCAGGTCTCTGAGGGTCCACAGATACTGAAGGAAAACAGATCAGTTACAGTCTGATTAGTAATCTGATTACAGTCACTCACATCCACATGAAGTTTAACTGTCAGCTCTGTGTGTGTGTGTGTGTGTGTGTGTGTGTGTGTGGGGTAATCAGCGGTAAGTGGAGTGTGTTTCTGGACGGAGACGATCAGCCGCCTGCAGCCAATCAATACAGAGATCAATACTGGGAATGGAGGGAGAGATCTAACAGGTCATTATCCGTGTGTGTGTGTGTGTGTGTGTGTGTGTGTGTGTGTGTGTGTGTGTGTGTGTGTGTGTGCGTGCGTGCACAGTCATGGATTGTGAGGACGAGTTTGAGTTCTGAGTGTGTTTGAGGGTCCAGGTTAGAGCCAGGTTTAGGTTAGAGGGAGGAGCTGGGGAGTGTGTGTGTGTGTGTGTGTGTGTGTGTGTGTGTGTGTGTGTGTGTGTGTTCATGACTTAATTATGTAAAACATGTTTATACAAACAGTGAAATTGTGTTTGACTGTCAGTTGAACTTCCTGCCAGACGTTTTAGAGATGACGCCAAGTTTCAGGTTCAAACTCTGGTCACACAACAGGTATCCAACAGGGAAATGTACAGAGAGCTAAAACTGACTCCTCAAAGTTTGACTGCAGTTTTCATCCATGATGTCACGTTTACACCTGGACCTCCATGTGTCCACAGACTCACTCTCTCTCTCTGTGTCTCTCTCTTTCTCTGTCTCTCTGTCTTGTTACTGATGGATGTTTAACAGCATCAGAGTCTGGTTGTGTCACACGATCTGATCCTGTAAAACACACACACACACACACACCTTCCTGTCCACTGGAACAGTCAGCAGCTGCAGACACTAAAATCAGAGACTCATTTTGAGACGTTCAAAGACAAAAACACAGAATCCTGAAACACACAAACAAGAATAGACCTGACTCTAAACAAAGAAGAAAAAGAGTTTGATGACTGAGACACAACATGAGACCAGAGTCACAACACAAAACAACAACTAGGGGTGAATGGATGAATGATGGATAGATGATGGATGGTGGTCACAGATCAGGGAAAAAGCTTCAGAGCAGATCTTTGAATGGTTCAATGTTTCCGTGCTGCATTCAGGGACCCTACGTGACTCCAGTCGATACAGCCTAGTGAGCGACACTGAAAGCAGCTCAGGCTCGTATTGATTTCCGTTCTCTATCAGAGGAACAATAAACTGCTGCTGTCGCATCACTGCACACGTTTCCCTCCAGGTCACAACCATCAACACCAGTTCACCGGCCAATCACTGAGCTCGTCTCTCAAACACAGCCGTGTTCAACACTTCACATCAATCTGTTTTTCTTCTGTATGAATCAATGAGTCAGATTAAATATCGTGATACATCATGGAGCCCAATGAATTATTTATATAATCACAATAAACACGATGAAACAAACTGTCTCATTACAGCAGCTGAATCACTAGACTAGGAGCAGGGCAAACTGTTAGCCTAGCTTAGCACAAAGACTAGAAGCAGAGGGAAACTGTTAGCCTAGCTTAGCACAAAGACTAAAAGCAGGAGAAACTGTTAGCCTAGCTTAGCACAAAGACTAGAAGTAGGAGAAATTTATCATGTCACATTATTTAGAGAAGTGATTCTGATGTGTCAGATATTAATTCTAAACATCATACACACACACACACGAAACATGAGTCATGAATAATCGTGGCTCGAGGTGAAACTTCACCTCTACATGGATCGATAAAGAGAGTGTTGCTCATAACTGCAGCAGATATCAGAGGAGCGTGGGGGGGTTATATATTGATCAGCTGCTCCCCCATCCCTGTAAGTGAATTAAACTTAACTGTATGTGTGTGTGGCCCCCCAGGGTTTAATGAAAGAGGAGGTTACATCTGGGCCCTGTAGGGACGATCGATCAGAAAGAGAGAGAGAGGAGGAGAGGATGGGAGGAGGATGGGAGGAGGGGGAGCGGATGGGGGCAGTCAGCAGCGTCTGCAGACAGAAACAGTTTCTCTTTCAAGCTTCATCAGAGAACCAGAGAGAAACTGGAGAACGAGGAAACATGGAAATAGAGGAGGGAGCAGGGCTTTTATTTTGAAATTTTATAAGAAAATCACTACATTAAAGAAATCAATATCAGATCTTATATATTCATTAATATCTTCATTTTTATTTTTGTGTTCAACGATGACATTTTACCCAGTGATGCTGTCGAACCTTGGGGTCGTCATGGCGATGATGGTCGACCAGGTGAATGGAGCACGGGTGCTGAGCGGTAGGTTAAGAAAATAAAAGTCTTAAAATTAGTTTTTCTGTCTTTGATGTAAAAAGTCGTCGTCTTGATTCTAATGCTCAATGAGTGAAAATATTAATGAATGTAATTAGCATGAAATCCATTTTAAACCTGTGTTTGGATGAAGGTTTTTTTGCATTAACTCAGGTGAAAATTCAGGGATGACTTTTATGCTATTTGGTGAATTTAAAGTTTTTTCTACCCTTTGAAAAACCCTTAAATGACTCAGTTAATTCACTAAAATCCCTTCATTTATAATAATAATAATAATAATAATAATAATAATAATAATAAGTTAATTAAATCCAAACTGAACTAACTTTCTTTTCGGGAACTAAATTAGTGGGTCTGTCAGTTATTTTGTAGATTGCAACCATTAAATCTGATATAAAACATTAATAATCATAATAAACATTGTCTCGTGTGTAGGTTTTTTTTTCTTGGAGCTTTTCTCAGTTAAAGTAAAATTTCTGATGAGCTCAGTTTAAATGATCTGTGATGTTTGTATTTCTAAACCCCAGTGAACATCCCATAATAATCCACAGACTCATGAAGGTCTGAGTGACTCCAAAACAATCTGTTGTTTTCCACTGTTTATCTTTATTGTTGTTTTCCTACTTGAGACAGCTGCCTAGCAACAGTGGTGGTTGATAGGGTGTGGCTTGGTGCTCTCTGCGTTGTTGCTATGGCGTTTGGAGTGGTTGCTATAGCACCTGCAAGTGGTTGTTGTTGTATTTTGTTAGTTAATAATAATTCAACATGTAATGAATCAATCTAGGCTCCAGTGACACAGTGGCTATGCTAACAGAGCTAGCTAGTAAACTAGCTGTAGCTGGTGAGCTAACCGCTAACTCTTCGGGCTAACGCCATCAGTCACAGAAGCTTCTGTCTGACTGACACACACACACACACACACACACACACACACACACACACACACACACACACACACACACACACTTACATCTGCTCTCCTTACAACCTGAGCTGATAATGATTGTTCCAATGAAGCAAATCTGAGTTTGGGGAGGGGGGTGGGGGTGGGGGTGTGTGTTTGTGGGGGGGGGGGTTAGACAGATATATATGAAGCTATTTAGTGGCTTTAACAGTAAAGTGATGATGGTGCAGAAGAGAATCCAGCTAATCACTTAAAGTAGCTCTGAGTGTGTGTGAGGCTGTTTTAACCAGTGTGTATTAATCACTGCAGCTATTCACTGTGGACACACACACACACACACACACACAGAGACACACACACACAGAGACACACACACACACACACACACACACACACACACACACACACACACAGTGATGGTAAAATGACAGACTGTATAGAGACACTCCAGCTGGTCCAGATTTAGTTCTCTGCTGAAGTCACAGAGGTCAGGTGGGATGAAGCTTCCTGGTCAAGGTGTGACTCTGTCTCTCAGGTCAGACGGTGTGTTCAGGTGGCCCAGGACGTCCCTGCTATAAAATTGCATATTTCCACGACATGTCGAGTCGTGTTGCGTTCAGGGAGGCGTGTCGCGTCTGTGAGATGGATGGAGGGTCGCTGCTCAGCATCGAGAGTCCGGCCGAGCAGACGGACATCGAGAACCTGCTGCAGGTGAGATGCACACCTGCTCCTCCTCACCTCCCTCTATTCCTCCTGTCATCTCCTCCTCTCATCTTCCTCCCCTCCTCTCCTCCACTTATTTTCTCCTCTCATCTTCCTCCTCTCCCCCTCCTTCTCTCATCTTCCTCCCCTCCTCTCATCTCCCCCTCATTGCCCTCCTCTCCCCTCATCTCCTCTCCTCCTCTTATTTTCTCCTCTCATCTTCCTCCTCTCCTCCTCTTCCTCTCCTTCTCTCATCTTCCTCCGCTCCTCTCATCTCACTCTCATCTTCCTCCTCTCCCCTCGTCTCCTCTCATCTTCCTCTCTTCCTCCTCCCCTCCTCTTATTTTCTCTCATCTTTCTCCTCTCCTCCCCTCCTCCTCCCTTCCTGTCATCTTCTTCCTCTCCTTCTCTCCTCTCTTCTTCCTCCTCTCCTCTCCTCTCATCTCCCTCCCCTCCTCTCCTCCTCTTCGCCTTCAGGAGCTGCGTTCAGGAGCGGTGGGTGGGGCAGGAGGAGGCGCAGGAGGAGGGATAGCGGACGGTGATTTCTGGATCGGTCTGACTCGGGTCGACGGAGTGGATCAGTCTCGTCCTGAACTCAGCAACACTTTCACTTCCTGTCCACAGCTCTACCACTGGACTGACGGAAGCCCCGCCTCCTTCAGGTGAGCAGGAAGTTCAAGCTGCATCAGATGATGGTGGTGGTAATGGTGATGATGGTGATGATGATGATGATGGTGATGGTGATGATGATGGTGGTAATGGTGATGATAATGGTGGTAATGGTGGTGATGGTGATGGTGACAATGATGATGGTAATGGTGATGATGATGGTGATGATGATGGTGATGGTAATGGTGATGATGACGATGGTGATGATGATGATGGTGATGATGATGGTGATGATGGTAATGGTGATGACGATGATGATGATGGTAATGGTGATGACGATGATGATGATGATGGTGATGACAATGATGATGGTGATGATAATGATGATGGTGATGATAATGGTGATGATGGTAATGGTGATGACGATGATGATGATGATGACAATGATGATGATGATGACGATGGTGATGGTAATGGTGATGACGATGATGATGACGATGATGATGATGATGGTGATGACGATGATGATGATGGTGATGGTAATGGTGATGATGGTAATGGTGATGACGATGATGATGATGACGATGGTGATGACGATGATGATGATGATGGTGATGACGATGATAATGGTGATGACGATGGTGATGATGATGATGATGACGATGATGGTGATGATGATGATAATGATGATGATGGTGATGATAATGGTGATGACGATGGTGATGATGATGATGATGACGATGATGATGGTGATGATAATGGTGATGACGATGGTGATGATGGTAATGGTGATGATGACGACGATGATGATGACGATGGTGATGATGATGACGATGATGGTGATGATGATAATGATGGTGGTAAGGGTGATGATGATGATGATGGTGGTGATGGTGATGGTAATGATGATGATGGTGATGATGGTGATAACGATGATGATGGTGGTAATGGTGATGATGATGATAATGATGATGATGATGATGGTGATGATGGTGGTAATTGTGATGATGATGATGATGATGGTGATGATGATGACGATGATGATGGTGATGATGACGATGATGATGGTGATGATGATGGTCATGGTGGTAATGGTGATGATGATGATGATGATGATGGTAATGGTGATGATGGTCATGATGATGGTCATGGTGGTAATGGTGATGATGATGATGATGATGGTGATGATGATGATAACGATGATGCTGATGATGATGGTGGTAATGGTGGTAATGGTGATGGTGATGATGATGATGGTTGTAATGGTGATGATGATGACGGTGATGATGATGGTGATAACGATGATGATGGTGATGATGATGGTAATGGTGATGATGATGATGATGATGGTGATGATGATGATAACGATGATGCTGATGATGATGGGGGTAATGGTGATGATGATGATGGTTGTAATGGTGATGATGATGATGGTGATGATGATGATAACGATGATGCTGATGATGATGGGGGTAATGGTGATGATGATGATGGTTGTAATGGTGATGATGATGATGGTGATGATGATGATAACGATGATGCTGATGATGATGGTGGTAATGGTGATGATGATGATGGTGATGATGATGATGATGATGATAATGATGATGATGATGATGATGATGTAGGAAGTGGTATTTTGACGAGCCGTCCTGTGGAGGAGAGGCCTGCGTCGTCATGTACCATCAACCAACAGCACTTCCTGGTCTGGGCGGGGCTTATCTCTACCAATGGAACGACGACCGCTGCAACATGAAACACAACTTCATCTGCAAATACCAACCAGGTACCATTAGCCAATCAGCCCTAGTCTTTGATAAACAAACAGGTACCGTCAGCCAATCAGCTTCAGTCTGATAGATTCAGGTGTGTTGGATTCCTTGTTTCTTTTAGAGAGCCACGGTGTGACGGGACACACACCTGGGGGGCGGAGCACAGGTGAGCATGATTCACTTCAGTGTGACTTTTTGCAGCACCACCATCAGGTCAAAGTGTGTGACAGGTGTGTGTCATGTCCTCAGAGACGACGGCAGGTGGAGGTGAGGTCAAACAGTCTGCAGGAAGTGAGGGGGGTCACCCTCAGGTCATCACGGCCGGAACTTCAGGTACAAACTCCTCTGACGTCTGACCCCTGATCTGTGACCTGGACTGGACAGATCTGATGTGGTCCGGTGTGGACTAACTAGACTGGACTGGACTGGTCTTGTCTCGTCTGGACTAGTCCAGTATTTACTGTCTGTTTGTCTCTCCTCAGGCATGCTACTGGTCTACGTGATCATTCCCACAATCCCCCTGCTGCTGCTCATCCTGGTGGCTTCAGGGACATGTTGTTTTCAGATGCTCAGTAGAAGGTGAGACTTGACCGCAGAGACTACATCTCCCAAGATCCTCTGCTCCTCTGTTAGAGCTGAGGCTGCAGGTTTGACTGTGTAGAGCTCAGTGATGACGAGTCACACACGGGAGCAGCTGTGTGAATGTGTGTGTGTGTGTGAATGTGTGTGAGAGAGAGTGTGAGTGTGTGAATGTGTGTGTGAGTGTGTGTATGAGAGTGTGACAGTGTGTGTGTTACCTGGCATCAGTCCAGGTGTATGCAGGCTGCTGCTGAATCAGCTCTCAGTCTGTTAATGTTCAGTTTCACTTGTGTCGTTTTATTCTGCAACACAACACCAATCTGCCACTGATGGTGAACGCCTGAAGAGAAAGAGCTGCACCTGAAGCACCTGCTTGCTCCTTCACACTCTACCAACACATTTCCTTCAAAGTGTTTTAGCTGTGTAGAATCTGAACTTTTGCAGACAGTGAACGGCTCCCTTCTTTCAGTCACTGATCTGCATCACTAAAGACTGAGGTTATCAACCTCTCCTGATCTAGAATCATCTCCTTGTGGTCGTATCCCTCCGCCACTCAGACTAGTTCCAGGTCACATCCTGTTTATCCAGAATCACAGAAAATATTTAACATTTCTGTGACATTTTATCATAATTGCTGAATGTTTGGACCTAATTTGAAGAAGTTCCTTCAAGGTATTACAAAGATATCATGTTCACAAGGCCAAAATCATGTTTTGTGAGGTCACCATAACCTTTGACCTTTAGCCACCAAAATCTAATCAGTTCATCCTTGAGTCCTAGTGAATATTTGTGCCAAATTTGAAGTAGTTCCTTCAAGGTGTTACCAAGATATTGTGTCCATGAGAATGAGGTTTACGGACAACCTGAAAACAAAATGGCTGATCTGACTGTTGCCGGGTGGATGAAAGAGAAACCTATACGCCTCTGCTCTTCAACTATAAAGCCCCAGTGATGGGCTTTAATACGAGGAAAAAATACAATGGAAGGAGTTTTGAAACATTTTTCATGTTTTTAAAGATCATTTCATTTTCTAACATAAAAACAATATCTTTGTTTTCATTATTTTTACGTTTTGCAAATGATTTCTTGGCCCACTACCAATACCTGTGGTACACAGGTTGGGAACCACTGGTCCAGAGCATTAAAGACTTGAGCTCACGTTAAAAATCAGGGTGTCGTCATGGACGGGGATCTTAGTGTCAGTGAACACATCACAGCTGTAACGTCATCTGAGGAACAGCTGTGTCCATCACCCTCTCCTCATTGGGTCACCTGATCAGACCATCACACAGCTGCAGCTGATTCACATTCTGCTGGTTCTGATTAAACAGAGCATGTTACTCCAGCTCTCAGGTCTTTACTGACCTCCAGTCAGATTCTGAATTCAAAGTTTAATTATTGTCTGTAAGTCACTAAATGGCCTGGGCCCTAAATATATTTCTGAAAAGTTCCATGTATAGAAACCTAACGGGTATGCAGGAGCTGCTCAGTTAGTGGAGCCCAGAGTTAAAACTAAACAGGGTGAAAAGTCTTTCAGCCACTGTGCTGCCCCCTGCTGGAACCAGATCCAAAGGATCAAGTCCAATCTGCCCAAACTGTAACTAACTTTAAAAAGACACTAAGAACTGCTCTGTTCTCCACTGCCTTCATTTAATCTTTGCCCTTTAATGAGATATTATGTGTTTAGTAATCTGTGTTTTACACTGTTTTCTTATTACACTTTTTACTTCTATTTTTCATCCTTCTTTTATTTCTGTTAAACTCATTGACTGACCTCTGTGTATCATGATGTTAGACAAACTAATCTGCCTCCAGATAATTTCCTGGAAACTTTCCTCATTTCACGATGAGCTGCTGTAAATCTGTTAATTACAGTCAGTGCCAATTAAGTCTGAGCTGATTATTGATCTGATTGGTTCAGATCCTCCATTATAAGAGAAAGTTACATGATGAGATATTATTGGATTGATGTAACATGCACTCATGTTTTCAAGCCATTTCCATGGTGATGTAGCAGCAGGTGAAGGTGTTGTTACCTACAGTTTAATCTGTGACACAGTGATCGATCAATAAAGCTTCTGGTAAAGTTTCCCTCCGTTTCACCTGCAGGAGCCTGAGCTTCCTGTGCTTCACCTGGTCCAGAGGTGTCTGTCTGTCTGTCACTCACTCACTCACTCACTCATTTGATTGGAAACAGACTCATGTCAGAAACAGGTTGTACCTCTGATAATGATAATGATGATGATAATGTCATCACCTCTCTCCCGCAGTACTCCCCGCACAAAGACTGCCGCCGACCAATCAAACCTGTGGATCTCCAGGACACCCAAACTTGATAGCATGGAGGTCTGAAACTCCACCCGTTGACATCACAGTGACATCAGCACGTCGGCACTAAGGAATGACATCAGTCTTACCACAGCTCAGCCATTCATCATCATCATCATCATGACGTGGTGCATTCAGGAGCAGGTGTACAACAATGTCACAGAGGCTTTAATGGACTATGTAGTTGACTGTATTTACACCTGTGCGCGCACACACACACACACACGCACGCACACACACAGTCTTTTCCTTCCCTTGTCTACCTTCCTCTCTCCTACAGAGAACTCTTCACCTATCTGTTCGTTACATCTGATTGGTTCCCAGGTCTTCACCTGTTGGTTGACCTGTGTTTCCTGTGGTGATGTCATGTTGTAGTGTTGACTTTGAGCTCCCTGAGTCAGCTGGTCAGAGCGCCCCCTGCTGGACACATCCGACCTCACGGTTTAAAGAAACAGTTCAACATTGTGTCAAATGCTTCCTGTCAGAGTCTGGTGTCTGTATGCAAACCATGCTTATTTTAGCTTAGCTTAGCATGAAGCCTGGGAGCAGCCTCGTCTTGTTTGTTTAATCTATGTAAAGAACTTGGAGTAAAGTTGTCTGTTCCCACGTGACCTGAACGCACCATGAACTGACATCACTTTGAGGAACCTGATCTGAGGTCAGCTTCTGATAAAACTGCTAATTAACAAACTCATTAACTGTCCCACTGATTACATCTGAAGCAGTTTTCTGTCATTGTCATAGAAACGCCCCTCAGTTCATCAGCTGACTATCAGATGTTTGTGTTGTTGTTTTGTTGTGAATAAAATAATTCCTGTCACTGTTTGTTGTTATTTAGAATTCAACCAATCAGCTGCCTCCCTTTGTTGGTTTATAAAAAACCGCTGAGGACGATCATGTGACATGACTGAAAGCTCCAGGACAGCTACAGTTTGACAAAGATTCAAATGTGAAGAAACAAACCTTCTGAATCATGTTGACGTTTAATCAATATCTGATCATTATGGATCAATCGATCATCTGATCGTCCATCGTTCACAGATCCATCACATCGTTCTGAGATCAGCTGGCCGCCCTGGGCGTGCTCAGTTCAGAAGGCGTCAGGTGGCGACCAGCTGATGAACTACCTCCGTCTCCTCGTTCGTCGTGTCCTCGAGCCGGTCAGCAGCGGCGTCGACCGCCACCACTGTCTCTTCCTGTTTGTACGTCAGAGCGGGCGTCATGTCGTCGTCAAACAGAATGGGCGGGACTTCCTCGGCCGCCCCCTTCCCCACCCCGTGCATACGCTTCTTGTGCTGCTGCAGGTTCCCGCTGCGGTTGAAGCGGGCGGAGCAGAGGTCGCAGGCGAACGGCCGCTCGCCCGTGTGGATGATGACGTGTCTGGCGAGCTGCGAGCGGCACTTCTTGTCTTTGCCGCAGATGTGGCAGACGAAGCTCTGCGGCAGGCGCGCTCCGTTGGCGTGGACGACCTCGCGGTGTCTCTTCAGGTGGCTGAGGCGTCTGAAGCGGCGGCTACAGAAGTCGCAGGCGTGTGGCCGCGCCTCGCTGTGGATCATGGAGTGACTTGCCAGCAGAGACTTGAACTTGAACACTTTGCTGCAGACGGGACACGGGAACATCTTGGCCGGCGCCGCGCTCTTCCTGTGGCCGGCGGCGCGCTGCGCGTCGTTCACTTTGACCTTCAGGTGGACGCGCAGGTGGTGCTGCTTCAGGCAGGTGGCGCGCTGGAAGGTGCGCATACAGACGCCGCAGCGGTGAGGCTTGTCGCCGCTGTGGATGCGTGAGTGAGCGGCGAGGAGCGCTTCAGATTTCAGCCGCCTCCCGCAGACGCCGCAGGCAAACGGCGCGTCGAGCGGCGGGCTCTCCTCGCCGTTCATTTGGTTGGCGTGGACCAGGATCTTGTGGCGTTTGAGCTGGTACTGGCGGCCGAACTTGCGGCCGCAGATATCGCAAAGATGCGGCCGCTCACCGGTGTGAGTCTGGAAGTGGACGGCGAGCTGAGAGCGGCACCGGAACTCTTTCCCGCAGAAGTCGCAGAGCAGCGAGCTGGGCCGCGGCGCCTCGGCGGACCCCTCCACGTGGACGATCTTCTTGTGGTGCTCCAGGTCGTTGGTCCTCATGTAAGCTTTGGGGCAGAGGTCGCAGCGGTGCGGCTTCACGCCCGAGTGGATGACCTCGTGCGTCTTCAGCCGGGAGCGGCAGCTGAAGGTTTTCCCGCAGACGGCACACAGCCACGCCGTCGCCTCGCGCTGCTTCTCCAGCTTGGCCACGCCGTTGGGATGCAGCCGGTTGAGGTGGTGCTGCAGGTTGTCACGGCGATTGAAGCGCAGGTCGCACAGGTGGCAGGCGAACGGCTTCTTCCCGGTGTGGATGAAGGAGTGACGCGCCAGACTCGACTTGTTCTTCATCACCTTCCCACAGACGTCACACATGGTGCTGTCGGGCTCCAGCTTCACCACTCCAGGTGCATGCTGGGAGTCGGAGTCCAGCCGCACGTCCCCCAGGGCGGAGGGATACGTGTGAGATGCCACATCTGGGTAGGGGGCGGTAAACAGTCAACAAAATAAAATCTGATTAATGACTTTCACTATAAAAAAAAGACATGAAATTATTTTAAACTTTTATTTTTATATTCAAACTGAGTATAAAGTTTAAAAGATCGAATTAATAAATAATAATCATTCAATATTTATATAATATTTAATATTAATCAAATAAAATTCAGAACAAAAATCGAAATTTAAAATAAAATATTAATTATAATAAAAACACTATTCAAATGAAATCTGATTAATACATTTATTTATGACTGATCCATTAATCAGTTGAAACTAGATAAAAACATTAAATCTGAACGTCATTGTTTCCCCAATTCACTCACCTTCAGGTGGAGTCCAGTTGGGATCACCTGTGTCCTCCTCCACCTCCTCCTCCTCCTCCTCCTCCTCGACCTCGTCTCCTTCCTTCTCCCCCTCCCCCTCCCGTTGGTCAGGATCACGTGACACCCGGCGGTGGTGGCGTTGAGTTGGCTTTCGTTTGGTGGTGTTGACGCCCTGAGGAAGCGGTCTCCTCTGGGTCCTGGACCGGGGCTGGGGGGGTTTGGGGGAGAGTCTGATGGCGGGTTTGATGGTTCTGGTTCTGGTCCGGTTGGGGGTGCAGTGCTGCAGCAGAGCGCCCCCGTCTTGTCCATCAGGTCTGAGCTGTAAACACTGCAGCAGCATGGAGGAGGAGCCTGCAGACACACAGATGAATACGTTGACAGTGAAGGAAACACATCTTAATGAGACACCTGACCACCTGTTGAACAGGTATGACCTCCAGCTCATCAGCTGAGTTCACAGGTGACCAGACCAACCCTGAGGCATTCTGGGTAAATCCAGTGTCTTTACTGGACGTGTGTGTGTGTGTGTGTGTGTGTGTGTGTGTGTGTGTGTGTGTGTGTGTGTGTGTGTGTGTGTGTGTGTGTGTGTGTGTGTGTCTCACCTGAGTGTCTCCAGTGACTCAGCAGGTCCACCTGGACGGCAGCGTCTCTCCTCTCTGCTGAGTCGCTCTGACAGCCCACCTCCCTCCTCTCCTCCTCTGGACTCTCCCACTGGCAGCCCACCTCCCTCCTCCTCAGCTCCTCCTCCTCACCACCTTCAGCTCTCAGCAGGAAGACACAGAGCTGTTCTCCTCCAGGAGGCTCCAGGAGACCAGAGGACATCTTTAAAATCCACCTAGACACCAGCAGAGGACAGATCACCCCCCCGCCCCGATCAATTATCGGATCAGTTTTATAATCTAACATCAGTGGATGCACTGAGTGTTTTTCATCATGAGACTTTAAAACCAGAGCAGACAGTCCAGATCCTCTGCTCAGATATTAGATATAATTAATATTATATAATATTATTATTATATATTCATGGTTTTCCCTGCGTAGAGAATTAGGAGGCGGCCGCCTCCGTCAAATTTTGTGCCACCTCCTGATAAAATTCTAGTAGGCATACTTGTTGATGTTTGTAACTGCAACTGTGGCTGTACGCCACTATGGTAATGTAGTGACGCTAGATCGTAATCCGTGCATCAGGCAGAGCCATCCCAAATCACCAAAGAAGAGGAATACGAACGTGCTGGATCTTCTGCCTGTGGAAGGAGGCGGCGACCTGATTTTGCGGCTCTTCAAACAGGAGAATAGGGTTGCCACCCGTCCCGTACAGTACGGGATCATCCCATATTTGAAAATAAAATGATTGTAGTACTTGTTTTCTTGGTATTCGTGGATTTGAATCAATACTGGACGAAATTTATCCCATATTTTCGTTCATGTTATGTCCTAAGTGCTGTGAATAACGTAATGTCAATGAAAACCAAACCAGTTGCCACCTTTTTTTCACATGAAAGGTGGCAACACTACAGATGAATATTATTTCTACATCCAAGCACACCCAGCTTCTTGAAAAGTTTCCCTAAATTAACATTACATCCCATTGTGTATGTTTCTTTTGGCAGAAATCTCTCAAATCACAAATTATTTTAAAAAGAGTTTGTGAGGAGGAGAATCACGAGGACAGGTGAAACGGTACAGAGTGCAGACATCATTAGTTCTTCTAATGTGGGAAAAAAAAAGTTAATTCATGTCACTGATGAGATACAGTTAATGAGTCAGGACTGACAGTAAGCCTAGTTCTCAGCCACAAGTGGAAGGTGCCGGTGGAGAGGATCAGAGCGAGAGAGGAGTCAAGGCGAGAGCACCAAGTCTTAAGAAGTGTGTTAAAGCCAATGTTTGTTTATTATATTTCGACTGACTGATCACTGACTGACTGACTGACTGATCATTGATTGGCTGACTGATGACTGATCACTGTCTGATCACTGATCATTGACTGACTGACCGATGACTGACTGATCACTGACTCACTGACTGACCAATGACTGATCACAGACTGACTGATCACTGACTGACTGACGACTGACTGACCACTGACTCACTGACTGATGACTGACCACTGACTGACTGACTGATGATTGACTGACCGATCACAGACGGACTGATGACTGACTGACTGATCACTGACTGACGACTGACCGATGATCAATGACTGACCAGTGACTGACTGACTGACTGACCGATGACTGACAGTGGAGGAGTTGGCTGTGATTGGTTCTTCTCCTCTGATCAACAGTGTGTGGTCTATCACATTTTCAAAATAAAAGAACATCCACTCCACTGCTTCAAAGTAAGAGTCCTTCATAGAAATGTAGTGGAGTCAGAAGATCAATGTTAGTCTGTAAGTGTAGTGGAGGAACCTTCACAATAAAACTCAACAACAGATACTGGAGACACACTGACGTATAGAACTCAGGTAAATGTTCCTGTTCAAAACACCTGCAAAGAGACAGTCTCAGGTGTCATGACTGTAGATGATGTATCACCCGTGTGACCTGTTCACCTGTGTGCCGGTGTAAGTGAACGTGACTCTTCAGGATTAAACTGACTCTCGGCTCGTTGTTCTCAACCTGTACAGACTGTAGTGATAACTGATCGATGACCTAAGCGGTGATCAGTCTGTTTCCTGTCACTAGTTTTCCAACAATAAAACAAAACGGTTCATGTTCCGACTTTAATCTGAATAAATATTAATATTCACAAACACCAACACAAATTTCCTCTGATGCTAACATTAGCACGATGCTAACTAACGTGTGGTCCCTCTCAGAAAACAGGAGCGGGGACAGGTGAAGCGCAGGTGTGAGGTTTACCTGAGAGCGGAGCGGCTCGCGCTGTGACTGTGAGGAGGATTTAACGTCCACACGAAGATTCAGCTCCGAATCTGTCCGAACTTCAGACGGAAAGCCGACAGAACGGGCCGCACCGGAAACACTTCCACTTCTTCTTCTTCTTCTTCTTCTTCTTCTTCTGCCTTTTCTTCTACTACTTCCTCTTCTTCTTCTTCTCATCCGGTTCGGCGGGTCGGTGCTGCCCCCACAGGTCAGAGGACACACTGCAGCTGCTGCGTTCACTTCAACAGACCCGCTGATACATAAACATCAGAGCTGACGTCATCAGGACAACAATAATCATTGATAATTGTTTTAATAATTATTAAAACAATTACAATCATATGACAGTTAGTTCTGATCCAGTGATCTGATTGGACAGAATCTCTCCATGAGGCTGATATAGGTCAGGGCTATGATTACAGGTTGCTTAGCAACAGTCCAGTTGGAACTATTAGTGTTGGTGTAAACAAATAAATGATAAAATAAACAACCAAATCATAATTTGTTGTTGTTTATTGAACTAAAATGGCGCTGGTAGAACTGCTGTATAAAAGAATCTCACAGTGAGGGAGAGACTGACCTAGAACCGAATCACAGCCGTGCTGATATTCAGTAAACTCACTCCCTGAGTGTGATATTGCTTAAATAATGATAAATAATAATTATGAACAATAACTGTAAATAATTAGAAGCAAATAATAATGAAAAACCTAACCTTCAGTTTACTGCGCAAATGTCACAATATGACAATTGAGACCAGTGTTGACAATATTCAGTTTCTGTTCGTTTTGATATAAATGAGTAAATGAACAGATGTAAAAATTTGTTGTAAAGAATAAACCAGCTGTTTCCAAGTGAAGTGTATAGAGATTTTTAATTGTAGTATTTTGGGATCATACAACATAAATAAAAGCTTTCATTACATTCTCATCAGCAACAGAGCCATACATCGACAGAGTTCAATCAAAACCACAAACACAAGTTACTACGATTTACCCAGAGCCATACGAGACCTGGGTTACATGACACCAGAGCCATATATAAACATCATATATAAACATCATATATGAACATCGTCCAACATGATAGTGTCTCTCTCTCTCTCTCTCTCTGTGCTTCATGAGAACGATGACAGCAATGACACCGACACTGAGAACAACTGAAGGAATAAATATTCTTCTTCCTGCTTCCTCCTGCTCTATGTACATTATTAACACGACACAGACCAGCATCATCCAGCTGCTGAGGAGGGAACAGAGACCACCACCTGAAGGGGGACCAGGGTCCAGACTGGGACCATGTGGTCAGGTGATTCCAGTCCAGTCAGGTTGTATTCTGCAGCAGTAAAAATCAAGCATCACCGAAGAAGACGGACGGATTGTGCCTTTAATATAAATGTTGTTATGTCTTTAGATAGTTGTTTGTTTCTCTGTGGCAAATAAACAAATAAACAGACAACACATGATGACAACTGAAACGTTCATCACACAGTCATTATCTGCTCACTCAGTTTGCACCGTTGCCATGGAGACGTCCATGTTATTCTGAGCTCCTACAGGACTAATCTTTAAAGTGGCAGCAGCTGAAAGCTCTGGACCAAACACCAGCTGGTCAATCATTAAAACTCCTAGTGATCAGCTTATTGATTAATGACTAATCATTCTATCACTTATTTAAACCTCATGTTGCTCCTCGACCAATGAGAGTCCACCTTTAAACTGACATCATCCTCAGACCACCTCCACAGCTGATCATAAAACTGATTCCACACATGATTTATTATGATCAGAGCTTTAAAGGAAACACAGTTTTCCAGATCCTGAGGATCTTCATCCTCTTGATCAGAGGTTTTCACACTGAGAGGCCCCGCCCACACTAGTTAGTTAGTGTTAGTGACCTCGGTTCAGCTGCTGATTTAGTTCACTATTTACACCAAGAGTCAGGCCCCCAGACTTTGCCTGAGGGAATTACCAAAAGTTCATAGCGTTGTGACATTAAACACAGGGTTTCCATGGTTACAAGGGGACGCCCAGAAGCGTAAAAAACAGCAAACAAAGGCCATAAAACGCAAGAAATAATAAGATAGAAGAAGAATGATGAACAAACAAGCCTGAAAGGAGCTAACGCTAACGTTAGCATTAGAAAAACATATAGTATGACAGTATAAACACAGAGTCACTGTGATTCAGAGACTGAACTGTTGAGTTATCTGTCCTGTGATCAGGAATTCCAAATATCCAAATTGGATCAGACCCGGGGGGTGGGGGGTGGGGGGTGGGGTGGGGGGGGTGGCAGTGTGAAAACCTCTGCTCAGTCTCTGGAGCTGCAGGATGAAGGTTTACAGGAAGCTTCTTTAGGTGCTGCTGATGATGATGGTGATGTGTTAGTGAAGCTGGTGATCACAGACGAGACGCTCCACTCCATGTGTTTTGGTTCATCGACACAACGACACAATAAAAACAACAGTGACACACGGTGAGTCTCAGAGTTCAGTCAAACAAGGCAGTGCAAAAACTCCTCCTCCTCTTCATCACTTCCTGTCAGACTCCCTCTCCTCCTCTTCACCTTCAGTCAGTAGTAGACCCCCCCCCCCCCCACCTGTGCAGCTTTATCACTGGAGGAGGATGATGATGATGAAGAGTCTGTTGTTGAAGCTAAGCAGAGTTGAGATACTCCAGAGCAACTTCATAACAGAACTTATACTGTTCCTGCAGAGACAGAACCAGAGGTCACGAGAGGTCAACAGGGGTCATGCAGTATCACTATCTTAATATATTAAAGTTATAATATTGATTATTTTTAATATAGATATACAGTATACAGTATAATACATATAAAATATTAATAATAACAAAAGTTTGAGTCATAAAAAATAAATTCATAACAATGTTACAGAAAATACATTTAAAAGAAAAGGATTATAATATAATATAATTCTAATAAACAATAACAGTCATAACAACTTTTTCTATTTATTTATTTATCTATCTATCTTTATCTTAACTCAGAAATACTGAAGTAAATATTTAATTTTGATTAATGAAAATTATGATAAGAAAGTGATAAGAAATAAAATCAATAAGGAAAATTAATAAATGTAATAATAAGTAATCAAAAAAGAAACTAATAAAATTGAATGTGTTTATCAATATCAATACCACTAATAATAATAACAACAGGAATAATAATTATAATAATTATAATATATTTATATATATATATAATGTCATCCTGCATAAAATTAAGATTTTAGAAAATTTAATTAGACTAAAGTCAAAGAAAGAAATAAACTAAAATTCAATAAATGTTGTTTCTTTGATGAGAACATGATGACAGTGTGATTGTATGATTTGTTATTAAATATAAATTAAAATATAAATGAATCAATATGAAATTATGTTGTTTTGTCTTTACCAGCAGATCCACCATGTTTGGTTTGTTGTTCCTCAGAGTTTTAACAGCGTGAAAGACGTCGACACATCGCTGCTGCCGCAACATCTCACACACTATACTGATGCTGCAGAACACACCACTGCGACCCCCTCCATTCCTGAGGGGGGGGAGAGACAAGGAGAGTGTTGTTCCACTTTTCGCCACTAGATGAAGACAAACCATCACTGATCAAATTTCTGTAACTGTGTATTAGTACTATCACTTTGTGTACTTGTTGTATCAGCAGTACTGTTGTAGTATCAGTGGCAGTATTAGCAGTAGTATCAGTAATACTGTCTGCAGGATTGTAGTATCAGTGGTAGTAGCAGCAGTAGTACTACAGTATCAGTATCAGTAGTAGCGTCTGCAGGAATGTCCTCAGCTCTGGTTCTGGTGTCTTACAGGCAGTGGACCACGGTGCGTCCCTCCCCTCCGTCGTACTCGTCCTGCCACTTGTCCACCTGGTGGACCAGTTTGAGGAAGGAGCGCTTGGAGACGGGTGTGTCCCGGTACATGGGCCAGCCCAGGAACTGGAACTGCTGCACCATGCGGTACCCGTCCTGCGGCTGGGGGGGGGGGGGGGGGGGCACAGGGAGGACAGTGGGGGTCAAAACAAGCTTGGCCTAAACCTAATCTCAGGTCTGTCTGGGACATAACAGCAGGAGAGGGCAGTGAAATGAAACGCACCCCAAAATCACATAAGGCAGCAGGAGGTAAATTAATCAGACACACCCTAAACTAAACTCAGAGAGGAGGAAGGAAGGAAGGAAGGAAAGAAGGAGGTATGGAGAAGGAAGGAGGGAGGGACAAAAGGCAGGAGGGAGGAAAAGGAGGAGATACTGAAAGGGATGAAGGAGGCAAGGAAGGAAAGGAAAGGAGGTGGTACAGAAAGTAACAGGTACACAAGGAAAATGAGGGATATGTGGGATGAAAAGGGGAAGGAGAGGAGGAGGTAAGCAAAGGGTGAAGTGAAGGGCGTAAAGGACGGAAGAAGAAAAGTAGATCCTAACATAAATGTGAACAGACAGGGAGGAGAAAGTGTTTAAATCAAACGCACTGAAATCTAAATCCGACCTGCCACAATGAGGCGAGTGGGGATGGGAGTCTGGATCAAACACAGCCCAAATTTTGTGAGACATAGGGAGGAAAAGAGGCACAAATCAAACGTAGCTGAACCTAAACTCAGCCCGATGGGGAGGTGAAGAGGTTTAAATCAAACACACTCTGATCTAAATCTGGTGAAACAGGAAAGGAAAAGGGGGTTTGGATCGAACACCAACATGGAAATCAAACACACCCTGAATACCTGAGGAGGTAAAGGGGTCAAAATCAAACAACCCTGGACTGACAGAGGAAGATGTTGTTATGCTAACACTGCTAACCCTGTCGGCTAACACACACCTGTGTTCATTAATTCTGTTTTAGTCACAGCTAATGTTGATCTAGTGTTAACTAGCATCACGTAGCAACAGCTAGCATGTGAACTATTCACATTAATGACAGTAGCTGCTGTTAGCAATATGAGGCACTGCGGTCAGCTAACAGCTAAGCTAATGCTAATTTTCAGCTAGCTCAAATTCTGCTAGAAAAAAAAGATGGGTTTGATTTTCACCTCAATGTGAAGCATCAATTAGCAACAGCTAGCATCAACCATCGGCAGCTACTGATGTTAGATCAGTGTCTGTGTTAGTGATATCACCTGCTGGATCCAGCTAGCTTCAATTAGCACTTACTGTCAGTTAACATCAGGTAGCCTAGCAACAACAACATATGTCATCTAACGACAGCTGATCTAAGGTCCCACAGACACCGGTCAAGGTGGATGTGGCCTTGTAGCCACCACTGACTGCGCAGCCAGCAGCATCATCACAGCAACATGGACCACAGAGGCAAGTGATGGAGTAAAAAACAAACGCACCCTGGCTGTGTTGTAGATCCTGAAGATACGGCTGATGACGTCCTCCTCCAGATCAGCAGAGACAAACTCCACCTGCAGGGAGCCCAGACGATGGAGGCCATTCTCCGGCCAGTACTGAGGACACAGCTGAGACAGACAGAGGGAGGTTATTGATCCAGATTATCAATAATAGATCAGATTCATCTGACTCATCTCCTCATGCAGCTGTGTGTGTGTGTGTGTGTGTGTGTGCGTGTACCTGCGCGGGGTCGACATCGTTCAGCATGACGATGGACGTACAGTGGTAGTCTAGGACCAGACGCCAGAAGTCCTTCACCGTGTTCGGCAAGGGATGCTGGGTAACAATGAATGCTGACGGCTGCTTGTAGCTCTATAACGGTAACACGCCATATATGGTTGGTCAAACAGCAGGAAATGACATCACACAGGTGAACAAATGACACCAACAACAACAGCAATGATTTTTCACTGTCTGAGCTTTTAATGTGAAAGGAGCTTCCAACTGACATTTCCATCACACACACACACACACACGCACACGCACACGCACACGCACACGCACACGCACACGCGCACACGCACACGCACACGCACACACACACACACACACACACACACTCACGCACACACACACACACACACACACACACACACACACACACACACACACACACAGTCTGTGGTCAGGTATTTGGTTGGTTTCCATGACGACAGAGTTGTTTATTAGAAAATGGTAGGGTATGATGTACAATACTGTGGTTTATGTGTGACTGAACCTTCCATTAACCACAGAGATGCTGAGACTGCTCTCTCATATAAACCAAAGGTCTCTCTCCCCCTCTCTCTGTGTGTGTCTCTCTCTCTCTCTCTGTGTGTGTCTCTCTCTCTCTCTCCCCCTCTCTCTGTGTGTGTCTCTCTCTCTCTCTCTGTGTCTCTCTCTCTCTCTCTCTCCCCCTCTCTCTGTGTCTCTGTCTCTCTCTCTGTGTCTCTCTCTCTCTCTCTGTGTGTGTCTCTCTCTCTCTCCCCCTCTCTCTGGCTCTGTGTTTCTCTCTCTCCTCCTCTCTCGTGTGTGTGTGTGTGTGCTCTCCCCCTCTCTCTGTCTCTCTCTCTCTGTCTCTCTCTATGTCTCTCTCTCTGGCTCTGTGTTTCTCTCTCTCCTCCTCTCTCTGTCTCTCTCTATGTCTCTCTCTGGCTCTGTGTCTCTCTCTCTCCCCCTCTCTCTGTCTCTCTCTCTGGCTCTGTGTTTCTCTCTCTCCCCCTCTCTCTGTCTCTCTCTCTCTGTCTCTCTCTGGCTCTGTCTCTCTCTCTCCCCCTCTCTCTGTCTCTCTCTTTGTCTCTCTCTCTCTGTGTCTCTCTCTCTCTCTCTCTGTCATTTAAAGGGACAGTTAATCACATTTTCCTTCTTTTCATTGTCTGTCCTTATCCATCCAGAGGTGCAGCACAAACATCTGGACCTGATTCTAACTCCAGGGTCCCTTCATCTTTTAATATGTCCACTGTTACACCTGTACACGCCCTCTGTTTTTCACAATAAAAGCCAAAGCCGACACACAGCATTATAGATTATAGATTATAGATCCCCCAGAGCATCATGGGAACTAGAATA